CACACACACACACACACACACACACACACACACACACACGTATATACGCACACAAACACAAACACACACACGCGTGCGCGCACGCACGCACGTATGCACGCACGCACGCACTTGTTGAATTGGTTTTCATCCAGCGTGCCCTTGACGCCCACGAGGCAATGCTCCTTGGAGTGGTTGAGCAGGTACCCCGTGCGGCCGCCACTGCGTCGCGGTCAGTAAGGGTGATGCATGTCACCCCAGGAATGCAGGCGGCCGCCTGAGGGGACGGGAGGCATGTCGCACATGCCGGGGGAGCCGCGGCCGGCTCGTGTATGGGGCGATGCGCGCTCGCATCGCCTGTGGGGTGCGGAAAGGTCCCTCTCTCCACCTCGCCCTTCGAGGCAACCCAGATGGCCGGGCCCGCCGGCCGACACAGCAGGGCGGGCAGGAGCGAGGGCGCGCACGCCGCCGCACTCGCTTCGCTCTCATCCACCATGAATTCCCGCGAACGTGGGCTCTGCTGCGACCCGCCTCACCGGCTGAGCTGGCAGAGCTGGTTGGTCTTTATCCAGATCAGCTCGTCCACCCGCAGGTACCCCCACCGCTCTAGCAGCTCCCGGCCTAGCTCCAAGACGCGCGCTGCAGGGTTGGGTGGTGGGCGGGTGAGTAGGCGAGAGTGTGTGTGTGTTTGGGGGTGGGGTGGGGCGGGGTTGAGCACGTGTGCGTGCATGCGGGCGTGTATGTGTGTGTGTGTGCGTGCGCGTGCGTGCGTGTGCGTGCGTGTGTGTGTGTGTATATGGTTGTGTGTCGGTTGGGCAGGGGAGGAGGAAGTGTGAGCAGTGGGCACCCAATCGTGGTGGGAAGGAGTGAGCAACGCGAACGGAAGGGCAGGACGCCCAATTGTCCTGTTATCTTGATGCATTGAGCCAAGAGTTGGCACGATCAGCCGTCCATCAAAATGAACAGCGCAGCCGCCAATGACGCACCCGTGACCCAAAGGAAAATGACGCCGTTGTCCATGAGCGCCCCAAGGTTCATGGTCCTCATCTCATTGTCGCTCATCAGGCCATATGGCAGCTCCTGGTTGATCTCCCTGGGGGTTGGGTGATGGAGGGCGAGACGTGTTTTTGACGTGATGCTATCAGATAGATGCTGCGGGGGGTGACTGTTTGCTGAGGTATTCTCCGTTTTGTGTGTGTGTGGGGGGGGGGGAAGCTTCGCCGAGCGTGAGCGAGCCAGCAATCTCCAGTTCTCTACCAAATTTCCCACCCAGATCAACTCCCACAGCCAACCCGTCCTCCAACAGCCCAGCCACGAGGGACAACAAGACATCCGATCCGCACAAACATGGACAAAGCCGCCCGGCAGAGTCCCAAGGTCGGATGCCCCAGCTGCGCCCTTGTACCCCGTCCCTGCGCGCTGAATTCCGACAAAGCACGCAACCAGTGGTGCATCACCCACTGCTCACCATGGGGGGTCGGCCATGATGACCTGGAACTTGCCCAGGGTGGTCAGGTCAAAGTGGCGCACATCAGCGGTGACCCACTGGGGCCGGTCCAAAGACTGCGCAAGGTTTGACCGACAGTACAGGGGGTAAATGCATTGCTATATGTCAGCGACTGGAAAAGCGATTAGGAAGGCATTGATGCATGGAGGTCGGGGCGTGCAGGATGAGGTTTGGATCATAGGGAAGGTCTGCCATGCAGTGCAGCGGGTCACTGCTCAGCCCCAGCGCCCGCTTCCGTGCATGGCCGCGCGGCTGGTCCGACCAGCCGCAAATGCTGAGTCGGCAGCCACAATCGCCCAACGTGCGCGCCATGCGCGAAACATCAGCATCGGCGCTGCCTTCATGAGACAGGCCCTGCTGTGCCCTCTTGGTTCACCTGCATGTACAAGGGTACGCTGGGCCCTGCAGCGCCGCCGGCCCCTGCCGGGCCGCCGCTCGCCGCCTCTGCCTCCGCCTCCCAGTCGATTTCGTAGTGCAGGCGGGGGCAGCGGTACCTGTGAGTGAGAGTGTAGGTGCGGTCATGGGTGCACGTGTGCATGCGCATGGGAGCGCTAGCCGGTCAGTGTATCAGTGTGCAAACGTGCCGGTATGAAAAGGCGAACGGGGCAATGCGATTGAGACATTGGCAGAAGGACACTTTCAAGCGGTGGCGATGCCCCAGCTCCACTGCACCACTTGCAAAAGCTCCAACGTGAGTGCAGGGGAACAAGAACGGGTCGAGCAGTGCCGGAAATGCAATTGCCAGCAACAAGGGGTGGGCCGGCCGCAAGAATCGCCCACGTGTGGCAGTTGTGCAGCCAGGTGCAGTTGCCTAGTTCTGGCTTGGTCCACGGCCTCATGATGACCCTGGGGGCGAAACCGGAGGGGGGGTGAGGGG